GACAGGGATGAAATTATCCCTGTGTGTGTGTGTGTGTGGCTACCAGGCGTAGAATCATTCTTTCCCCTCCAAACTGAACTTTTTCGCTTCTCCAAAGTTTCTTTAGCAAGAAGAAACATACAAGTGTTGCGGGAATGTGTGTGGGTGGGTAGGGGGGCTTCAATAAGCAGAAAGGAAGACATAACGTGGAACTGAGCATCAGGCAGAATATATAAGGAATTGCACGTGGGACGTGTTAGAGATTTTGAACAACTGAAGTGTAACAGTTCTGTTTGATTCAGGTGGGTGGCATAAGAGAAGTATTTGAGATAATAGTCCCGGCAGTATTATCTCGAAAATGTGTGTGTGTGTGTGTGTGTCTGCGCGGGGAGAGGGAGGGGGGAGAGAAGCCCGTTCCCAAACTTGAGAAATGAATCTATCAGCATGAATCAGTGGGATTTTGTACGGTCTAAGATTATGGATCATTATGGCCGTGGATTGTCAGAGAACACAGAAAGGAAAGTAGGGAAAGGGTGGAGGGGTTGTGATTTATGGCGCAATGTGCTATTTCTTTTCTCTCTGGCCTTTTAACAGAGAGGGGGTTATACAATGGAACAGGTTGAACGGCTGGTTCGGATGTGTCCGCTGTTCCCCCCCCCCACTCCCCCATTGGGAAAAAGCTTATATGGTGGTTGACGCCAAGGAAGGGGCTCTGTCCCTTTAAGGTCACGGCATGCTCTGGTATGATGTTTAGAAGGACAGCTGGGCAATGGCCATCTGACTGACTTCGGCTTGACATCTGGGAGCCCACTGGTGTGTGGCACGCGAATCGCTTGATGTCGCTATTTAAATGCAAATTTGTGGGGGGATCATTGAAGCCTCACCCCGTAAATTCACACAAAAGGAACACTTCACACACTCCAAGAAGGAGGAGGGCTGCGACTTCGGGAGGTCTTAGTTGCAGTATGCAAATCTCATTCAAATCCACCGTACCTTCTGCCTGACCAAGTTTGCTAAGGTCAAGTCTTTGGGGAGGAGGGGAATGTGCGGGGAAGGGACTGATTGGCGGTAGCTGGGCTCTACCCCAGCCCGGTTTGTACCAGCTTCAGCTGAAGCTTCCAGCTCTTGGCTTCCACCTTTGAACCGGTGAGAGGCGCTTCTAATAAGGAAAGGGCGAGGGCGAATCCGCTCCTGTGTTGAACTAGGCCTGACTGGTCCATCGCGAGTCGCAAAAGTTCTTAAAACCTCAACAAGTTTCTCCCCACGCCTTCCCTCCCCCTTCCAGAAGAAAACACAATGCTTGCTTTTCCCCCGGACGCGTCCTGGTCCCCGCGAACTTCACCTTAACAGCATGGCTTAGAGAAGACACTTGTTTCCGTCTTCCTCTTCCTCCTTCTCTCCTTCCCACTTTAGGAGAAGAAAGACCGCGTTTTTCTCGAAACGCATTGATTTCCCCGAAGGATTATTAAAAACAATCTTCCTCTCATACTAAGTAGCCTTTTCAACAGGAGGCAGAAATCCCCCGCCCTTCCTCTCCCTATGCCCGGGGCAGAGGCGAGGCGTTTGCGCCCTTTGCTGGGATAGAAAACCTGGGGTTTTAGTAAAGAAGATGCTTAAGACAAACCAGTCCTTGGAGTTGAATTGACACTTCCCGGGGAGTAATTTTTCTGTAAACATGGCTTCTAGTTAAAAAAGAAAAGAAAAGAAAAGAAAAGAAAAAGAGAGAGAGAGAAAAGAAAAGAAAGGAGGAAAGAAAAGCAAAGTTGGTGAACGATAAAGACCGTATTTTCCACGCTTTGGGTTCAGGACCAGATGATCTAGAAAATGAGCTGAAATAGATTCAGCCTCAGAGTCTAATGTGAAGAGCAGCTGACTCCCTATTTCTGGCCAGATGGCTTCTGAACACAGATTTGCATTCATTTTCGCTTAATATCGTCCAAAATAGCGGGGCAGCTGCATTTGTTGTCAAAAAGGTTTAAAAGTCTCCTTTTTTTTTTCTCGGGCAGGATCGTTACCTTATGTGATGGGGGCTTATGCAACTTTCACTCCCTCCCCCAGCCTCCCTCTCCCCTTTTAGTCAACAGTATCAGATTTAGAAGGATTTGTTTTAAAAACCTTCTAATTTGGTAATCAGATTTAAATCGCCTTGGCATGTGTAATCTGAATTAAAGATACTGTACAGTAAATGGGCTGAAGCGTGGTGACATTGTGAACCTGGACTAGAAGTAACTTCAGCACCGGTCCTCTCTTCCCCAAAGGAGTAACCATGCAATCTTTGCTCCAGGCTAAAAAAAAGTATTTTAAAAGAAGAGGTCGGATGGGGGGGAGACCAGAAAAAGAAACCAGACAACCGTTATTTGTGAATAATGACTGCAGCAAACTTTACCGGGTCAAACTGCTGTATAAAATCCACACCACAGAATGAGAAAGAAAAGCGATTCTATTTTTTTCTGCACCGACCTTCTTGTAACTTTACTTTTGCCTGCAATTGCAGTCCAGCAGAACGGTGACATCTGCCAGT